GTACTTTGGAAGCATCTCAAGGCTAAAGATAATAGTGAAAAGTTAACAGAGTGTTTTCCAGACTAAACGCAGTAGTCAGATCTTTAGAGCTTAAGCTCATAAGGAGAAGGACACTTATTCTATGAAAAACACCTATATTTGAGGGAGAATTTATACTAAATAAGGATGTCTGAAGGCAGTTATGGCAGATGTCAGCAACGGTAAGTTGTGATTAGTATGGGCTGGAAAAGTTGAGATAGTTTACATTTGGTTCTTTCCTATTCCTAAACTTCAAAATTCACCAGAAGTGTTTTCATATTTCACTAAAGGAAGAATTGTGCTTTTTTTTTAAAAAAAAAACAAACAACCACCAACAGGGTAGAAGGGACAGCAAAACTGAGGTAAAGATCTACTCAGGAGTTTTCTTTGACAGATGTTGGCCTGGGTTGAAGAGCACTACAGGCAAAAAAGCATGAGAAAACCTTACATTTCTTCATTGATTTGATGACCAGGTTTTCCTCTGAGAATTCCGAGCTGAGCGGGAATGCCGTTCTGCAGCGGCTGCTCCCAGGCTGCTTCCTCTCGTGGCCATGGTCTCGCTGCCCCGTGCAGGCCTTGGCTCGCGGCCGAGGCCTCCCTGCGAGCCACGGGGACGTTTTATTCAGTGAAGGTCTGGGACAGGCGATATTTACTGAAGTGATTTCACCCACTGGGTAAACGGTTATAAAAATCACAACGAGAGCGCGGCCGTGAGCGAACCTCTGCTCTCAACAGCGTCGTTTAGCGTCTTACGCTGAGGCGCCGGGAGCGGCGTTCTCCGGGGTTTGTACTTAACGTCAGCTCCGGGCGCGGCTTTCGTTCGGCTGCGTGGGGTCAGGCCGGAGCTTGTTCCCGGCGGCCCCGCCGTCACTCCACTTTGTAGCAATGTAGATGTCCTCACTCTTTAAGCTCACACCAATTTCATACTGGTGGTTTGGTTTCAGTTATTTTAAGCCAAACCAAAGAAATATCGAGTATTGGAAAGCTCGCTTGAACTTAAAAGTGGAACAGGTGAATTGCATCTAAGGTAACAAATGGGATTTCAGTAACTCTGAATCTTACTGCAGCGGTATTTGTCATGATTTTCTACAGTATTGATTTCTGTGCATCTTTAAGGTGCACTTTGCAGCTTACTTTCTGCTGTTTTCACTACAACTGTTACACTTTCGTTACATTTACTAATGTTTGTATAACTTTTGCTGTTTCTATGTGAGTGCTTTAAAATCCTAACAGTAAAAAAGCAGGCTATAAATACAACAGGCTTTTAATAGTTAGGCATCTTTAAACGTAATTGCTGTGATAAAAAAATGTCCAAAGTAGTGCTTTTAAAGCACTTATTTCATCAAAAGCTTATTGCTCTTTTGTGCAATGAGTTCAATTTTCTTTTCCGTCTTATATCAGGTTTTTAGTTCATTGCTTGTCTAGTAACTATAATTGTGTTCCATGGACTTGTGTTTTTGCAGGTTGTTGATTATGTGTGCCTGCCTAATAAACTTTAATGATTAGCCTTGGGTTTTGCTGGAGAGTTGACTTTTAAAGCAATATCCTAATATAGTCTAAGAATTTTTTCACACTTTTTCACTTGTTCACACTTTTTAGCCTAGAATAATGGTTTAAACACTTTATTATATACATACAGCATTTCATTAGTTTTGGACATCTCAGATACATGCGCTACGTTTAAGGAGGTATCTATCAATATGTATATATGTTTACACATTTTTAAAAATCAGGAAAATAAAGTTAATTGCCAATAGGTTTACCTTTTTTATACTGGTGTCTGCACCTCCACTGGGAAATATTTGTGGAGAGTGGGGGAAGAATTCGCTATTGGTTTTGGCTTTGAGAGCAACCACTAGCAGGACTCCTGGAATGCATTTTCTATGCTAATGCAGTTAAAGAAGCTAAACATTTAGAAGCTTAGCTGTATTGTAAAAATGGATGTGGATGTTTCCTTAGACAATGGAGACCCTTTGAGCAGTTCCTGTGTGCCTCCTGTAATCTAATCCATTCACCCTTCCTGCAGCTTTGATTGCCCAGCTCACAGATTTTTTTGACCTCTCAGTTGTGCCAGTAAAGCTGTTAGTGGGCCATGTTATTTTTAACCTGCACTGGTTCACGTCATAGTCCCGTGAAAAGTTGTACTCGCACAACTGAGGGAGCAGTGCAGGAGCAGGATGGGAACTCATTAGGCTGGCTTTGTCGCCAGGAAAAAAAAAGTTAGTGAAAGCTTGCCTTAAAATCATGGCATTGAACTTGAAATATTAGATTAAAAGATCTGAAATAATCTTAATATTTGCCCCTTAAAAGCTGTCGTATGTTTTGAGTCACCTTTAGAGAATACCTTAATATGTACATCCTGATTCATGAAATGAAACACCCATAGAGATGCCACCAGTTGGTGTAACTTTCTAAAAGTCCATCCCGATGTTACCAAATGACTGTTAACTGTATAAACCAAAGATCAGCTGCATTATAGTGTAGCAGAGGTTATCACATGTATCTTATTAGAATTCTACTAACATAAAGATTGCTTGTGCGTATTTTATGTTTTTAATATAAATTACCTATGCTCACATTTGCATTCTCTGAGCACAGTTTATAATTGGGTACATTTTGTCCCCCATGAGGTCAAATAAAACTTTTTTTTTAACGAAAAAACTACAACTCATATTTACATTGTCAGTTCCATGAAAAAAGTCTCTGAAAATAGTCTTTCATTGTGCATTAAATTCTAATAAACTTTGCTTCTGTGTTAGTAAAGAAAAAGCATTCTAAAGAATGTCCTCCTGCAGAGGAGAGTCAGGTTTGATTCACTTTGCAAGATGTGGCACACCGCCCCTGTTGTCTCTTGTCAAGCAGAAATTGGTTTCATACTCTAACTCTTTTCCTGCGACAACAATCTAGTGTAGTGTCTTATTCTTTTCTTTCCTAGCACTATGTTTAACTTCAGCACGCTAAGCTGATGAAGGAAGGAGTATACAGCTTTGCTACTTTATATAATCCCCAAGACTTAGTATTGTAACACCACCAGCCCCATTCTCATGCACTTCAGTGCAGGTAGGGGCATGATTCTGTCTGCTCCCCTGTGATAAGCTATTACGGGTTAATTATTTCGACAGTCCCATCACCAAATCTAGCACATTATTACTACTACCTGAAATTGTCTTCTCTTATTAGATATTAGACAGTTTTTCACTGTGTCTGTGTTGAAGTCTTCTGTTTCAACCACTGTTGATAGATAATGAAGGGTATTCTTGGTTTTGGGTAATGATACTTTCAAAAAAGAAACTTGACTCAATGCTTAATATATATGTTATTCTGGAAATATTTTTGGAAAGGAGAAAACCATGGGAAACTTTATAGAAAAATGTGTTGAACAAACACCCTCTTCATCTTAGAAGATAAATAGCTTAAGAAATACCAGTTTATGATTATGAAGTATTGATTTTGTCACCTTGTGTATGAAGTTTGTTACTCTTTCATGACATATAACCATAGACATTAGTGCTTGTCTGATGCCCTGGCTATTGTGTTTAGGGAGTTAAACTGTTAGGGAACTATCACTGCCTACTAGTGGAAAGTCAAAGTTTGCTTTGTCGGGTAAGTGCTGCATCAGTGTAAGAATGAGGAAAGTATTGGTCATATTTTTTGTTAGCAGTAGCCTGGTAACAAGACTGGAAATATTCTGTTGATTGTGGCCTGCATGAAAGGCACTGTTGCTTGCATATTCTTTGCTTTTTGTCAAAGCAGTCCAACGATGAATTCAATTTCATGTGCTGAACTGCTCATTAATTTCAAGGAATTCTTATATTGGCTGTAGTTACTGTTGGATTCCTCATGGAAAGCTGTATTGTTTCCCATCTGGTTTACCAAAAAATGGAGACGTGGAATGTTGCGAAGCTCCAAGTCTTAAGCAAAGCAAAGGCCATTGTATTGGGGTCCTGATCTTGGTTATTGCTGAGCCAGCCTGTGGCTTTATGAAATCACTGGTTTTGCTACAAATTAGGCTATTGGTAGCATGTGTAAAGAAGTACAAAAGTTTCTTATTTCCTATATTGTTCAGAAATACTTTGAAGATTATGTGAGACGTGTGAAAAGAGAGAAGACTTAACTGGTCATCACTGTTTATTTAAAAAACAAATAAACCCAGTTGTGATTAGAGGTCCTGATGTTAATTTGATTAATTCCAGAAGCTACATATTTTCAATACCATTTCCATACATTATTGTTTTCCTTACTGCAAGAGCAAGTCTCCAGGCATGAGAGACTCAGTCTAATGAGATCTATGCAAAATTTTAATCAAGTTCTAATTGATAATGCAAACACTGTGCAAAGTGTTGTGGCTTTTTTGTTTAAGGGTTTTTTTTAGGTGATTTGTTTGGGGTTTTTTTGTAGGGGTTTGGGTGAATTTTTGTGTTGTTTTTGTTGTGTTTTCAAGAAGCCCTGGCAAAATCTTTCCAAATTTATGGGGCTGTGGTAGGTTGTGAGTTTGGGGCATTGGGTTGGGTTTTTTTTAGATGCAGAGAGAATGAAGCTGTAGTTAGTTTCAGTAACTCAGTTGTGCCAGGTGTATTACATTAGTAGGGTCTTTATATTTCTTGTGAATCACTTAACTGGAATAGGAGTGTTTTTTAAAAAGATTTCTTTTGCTGTGGTGTCAGAGGCTTCCTCTAATAGTTAACTCATGTATTATACAAAAATAGTTTAAATGTATATGGAGGGTATCTTTGGTCTTTTTTCATCTTTAATAGCAAAGATGAGAATTCAAGTAATGATCAGAAAGGTGATGTGTCTTGAATATCTGTGTCAGATCTTTGAAGATCTCCTATATTAGATCAGGTTCAACCTGTGTGGAACATGGTGGGGCAGGGGGGGAGAAACCATTTGAAGGGTGTTACTGTCAAGTGCAGTAATCTACTGAACAGTGAGACATTAGTTCTGTGCAAGTACTGAATGTTTTGATATGTGTTGGCTTTTTTTTTTTACTGTCTAGTCTCAAGATGGCAGAATTATTTATGGAATGTGAAGAAGAGGAGCTAGAACCATGGCAAAAGAGAGTGAAAGAAGTGGAGGAGGATGATGATGATGATGATGAGCCAATCTTTGTTGGGGAAATCTCAGGCTCGAAGCCAGCTAGTACATGTAAGATAACATTTTCCGTAATTTAAAACGGATATTTGAAGGTGTAAAACTTTAAACTTACTTTGAAAATACAGAATTTTTAACAGTAAACCTTAAGAAAAATCTACATCTTAAAGCTGTTGTGTAGCTCGCTATGATACTGAAAATTGGAATCTTTAAGAAATTCTGTCCTAAAACCCAGGTTAATGCACAGCTCTGTATACCTCTAACCTTTAATCTCTGAAGTCAAAACAAGGATGTTTGAAGGTCTTAGCATTAATAATATAGTTAAAAACCCCCTATATACAATGCTGAAACCATGCATGCAGATGGTCTCAATATAGTTGATACCTAGTTAGATACTTAGAAGTGTCTCCCTACTGAATGAATGTGCATGAATTTAAGTCTTCATATTACGGTCCCTCTTTTTTCTCCACCCCACATTTCACGTGTTGGTGGACAGTCTGAATGGGTGGACATCATTCTGACAAAACCAAGGTAACTGTCTTAAGTGTCTATAATAAAAGCTCAATCAGGAAAAGTGGTTAATGTGAAAATAGTAGAATCTGCTCTGTTAAGTAAGAGACGTATTAATTCATTCATCCCCTGTAAAATAAAGAGTGTTTTTCATGAAGTTCTGTAGTTTTCTCCTAGTGCAGGGAGTGAGGTTAGGTGGTTGTGATGACAGCAGATGTGTCAGGATTCCATGTTTGTCCTGTCCTTGGGCTTTGGCAGGTAAGTAAAGGAGAACATTATTTTTGTTGCTTAAATTCATTCTAGTAATGGAACTTTTTGATTTCTGTCTGTGGCCATCTTGTAGTCAATTGTTAAGAGGTTTGACCTAGGGTTTCTCCAGCTATTGAATAACAAGATTTTGCCTGGTGAGGTTTACTGCTTTCAGCTTCTGCCTCATCTCTGCTATGCTTGTATCCAAGATCTCCAGTCATTTTCTCAAGGTGTGTAGTCTGCAGTGAAAAATCTCAAGACAAAATGTTAATCTGGTCTCTCTGTGGACTTTGCAGCATTTATTAGCTATACAGTCATTTTAGTTCACAATACTTTCATCTTGCATCTCAACTCAGTTTTACTGTATTACTTACTTCTGACACTAGCTTAAAGTGGAACATTATGTTTTAAATATTAAAGAAATACTGAAACTGATGTTAAAGCTCTCTCACCTGAAAATAATTCTTAAGGGTTAATCTTTTTGAATATTTAAAAAATATTCTAGATCCTCTTGAAAATTTGTAGGGTATCTTAAAATTACTCTAAGAAGTTTTCTGCAGTTACAAACTTCTAGAAGGACTGAAAAATACCCTTACTGTTTTCTGGAAGGTCCAGAGACCTCTGGATTGCTGTTGGTCATTGGTAGCAGGTCATGGCATAGGACAACTGTTGAGGCACTAGGCATTCGTTGGAACAACAAATACGTCAAGTTTCATTGCAGTCGTAGTCTCAACACTTTTTTGTAGTCATAAAGTAGTTCAGGTGAAAGCTATAATTTTTATATGATTCAGCAACTTCAAGAACTTTGGTGAAAGGTAGAGACTTAAAATGTATGCATCTTATTCTAGTGCTGTCCATACTCAGTCCTGACACAACTAAAATCACTTATCGTATAACTTTTCACTTTATCTCTTTTCCTTCCCTTTCCTCAACTTTTCTCTTTATAATCTTCTACTTCACTATCAAAAACAGCTATGGAAGAATGACCTCAGTTCTTCTCTGGCTTGTAAGTAGTACTACCTGGCAGTAGTCAGGCTTCAGTTTGTTATTGGTGATAGGCAAGACACGGTGAACTCAACTTTGCTTATCACTGCTTAGTTTTTACCCGAGAAAATTCTTGTCTGATCAGATGACAAATGGAGACTTACGTGTAGTTATTAATTTTTTCTGAAAGATATATTTTCTGCAATACATAGCAATTTGTTTTAACCTTTTCCTGACAATGCAGTTATAAGTTTTTATACAGACTGGTGTGGAAAACTCGAAGGAAATAACTAAAAACCCAACTTTGACCTCCTGGGATAGTGTCATATATAATAAAGTGTGTCTTCTGATGTACTGGAGGATTAGTCTGACTGGAATGCAAAGTAATTCACACTTTGTTCCCTTTACCATTTCCTGCAACTGCTCATTTTTTCCACAGTTCCTGCTCATTTTTCTTGCTTCCTTTTTCATCATTATACAAACCTGTAACTTGTTGCTACTTTAAAATGTTGTTCTGCATGTTAACTTTCTTATACTTCAGTGCTGTTTTACCTAAATAGGACAAGTAACACTTGCATGGGGGAGAGGAAAGGGCACATCAAGTCTATGATGAATTGATCGAGTCCTGTAAATTGTAGATCTAGGTTATAATGTCAAATCACTGACTTCCTGAAATGTTCTTTTTAAAAACAGTAATATCTACCTTTGGATTTTAGGATGTGACTGTCTGAGGCTGATTATGCTTTGTGAGACATAATTTAGAATAGCTTTTTTTTTTGTAGGTAGATGAAGGCAGCTTTAGTTTCATTTTACTCTAGAATTCTAATGTGAGATATAGATTTATTAACAAATACAAAAAAGTGTGTTCAGCTAAATCCTGAATTAAGTTAATCCTTCCTCATAGTTAGTGCTGTGTTGAAGTAAAAATAAATAGTATTACTATTACAGAACAAAATTTCATCACATCTTAAAAAATGTGAACCTGTTTGGATCTGTTGGTTGCAGCTGCTTTTTTATTAGTGTGATCTAAATGCAGGTGACAGGTTGAAAGCTGTGACCGTCTGAGCTCTACTGCTGTTAGATTTATTTATCAACCCAGTAGTGTATACTAATGAGCCATTGATGGTGGAAACAGCCTTAAGGTTGTTAAACACATTGTGTAGATGCTCTTAGGACCTACTGTTTGAGATCCTGCTGTAATTTGACCCTGGTTTGAGAAGGTGCTTTAAACCTTCTTGGTTAGGTATTGGAGGATCAGTCTTATCTCATATGCATATTTTCACATGTCAGAGCAAGAAACTTGACAGCAGTACTAATGGAACTGAGAACCTGGCAGTAGAAAAATATTTTGATTTGATGAATATTTTTGTAACATTCTGGAATGATCAGAAACCCCAGACTAAGGCATAAAAAGCTGGGGAATATTTGTGGCATTGGTTAGGGAGTAAACATCAAATTTAAGAAATTCCTTGTGTTTCTGATGAGCTAGAACTCTGGTCTTAGACTACCGTGTAGGATATGTAAGAAGATCAGTCCTCTTGTGATGCAGTTCCAACATAACTCCTTTGATTGCTGGTGTGTTGATTTTTCTTTCGCATTGGAAAACAGATCGTGAAGTCTAAAACCAAGTTTGTAAGTGCTGTATTTTCCTGTAATACACAAATTGTCTGGTTATTGGTTTAGAGAAAATGCTTCCCTTAGTGTAGAACAGTTTTAATATTTGGGGAACTTATTATTTATGTGAAAACCAGAAGTGAATAAATGCATTATAATCAGCAAAGCTAAATATTTATGAAATGTTCTTTTTTTTGTTTGCACTCTTACTTGTGTGTTAATCTCTCTCCAAGAAAATAAAAACTGAGATTAGCTTGACCTATGAGAAAAGGAATAGAAGAACATATCTAATTTGGACAAATTACACTTTGTTTTGCCAGGTATTTATTTTAGAAATAATATTCTAACTCAAATCCTAATTGGCTTAATTAGTGGATATGAATGCTAATTTTAATTTGAAAATCAATTAAGCTATTAATTTAACTGCAATTAAGATAAATGTAACTTTTGACAGATATATTGAACAGAGTCAACCTCAGCTCATCACGAAGGGGGATACAGAATGGTGCACCCAGTAGAGGTACTTTATTGTCCTAATATGGTAATTAAAAACATCCACAACACTTATGAAACGTTTGACTGCAAAATTATATAAAGATAACTTTGGAATCCTTTGCAACAGGTACAGTTACTACATTCAAGCCTGACAGCCACCATTACGTGACACCTGCCTCCAGCCCCGGTGCCATGCCTGTTTCATCAGTCTTTCAGTCTGTATCCAGACCTACAACTAGCTTGGTAGCAGTTCAGCCATTATCTATACCAGTGAATGTTTCAGGAACTTCACCAACGCTGCAGAGACCACTTGCTGGAACTTTGTCAACACAGCAGATGCCTGGGGCAAGTTCTGGAGTATCCCAGCCGGTTAGCAGACCTGTAACCATTCCGGTGACGACACAGCCAGCATCACGAAATGCCACCGTCCCTGTAGTGGCTCAGCCTGTATCCAGGCCGGTGACTACTGTAACAGCACAGCCTGTAATACTCAATCAGGTAAATTTTTATTCCCTTAAATTGTAAAATACTCACATACAATTACTTTTGAATACATTAATGAATACAGTACTCAGTCTAGTAATTTGAAGACCTGGACTAGATTATAGACTTTACCTCATTATATAAGATGTAAAGACTCTAGGACCATAACCTTGCACTGGTGAACTAAAATACATATTTGAAAATGCTGATTTGCAAGAGTTAAAGATGATAGCTTTAGCAACACCAGAATTACATTAAATGAAAATCTTGGGCATAAGAGAAATCGGTACTGTTTAGGTTATTTTGGTTTATGATGTGTGGAGAAATGGTAGAAATTCTCATTCTCTAAATTTTGCAGATTGCTCTACTCCGTACTGATAAATTAATTTCATTTTTAAATAGCTTGCATTTGGTGTTTAAAGTAACTGGTTTTCCCACCTGATTTTTACAGTGCCTACCTTGGGATCTTTGCTTCTTAAGAGAATGCTGTGGTGGTAGCTCCTGTGGGTTTTTTGCTTTTTGGTTCAAGTGGCAGTTGTAGCAAAACAGTATGGTAAGGACGACTTAAGCAATCAAAAATTGCAGGGTCAGTAGATGAAGCAGTTCGGCAGTATACTTGTTTTGTTTGAAAAGCCCAAGGGAATTATGCACATAGATTGTATATCATACATACCTGGATTGCCGCAGAACCTCAGAATGGGGTTCTTCAGGGACTCATGTTAGTGTTTTTCTTGCCTTAGCCGTTGGAATTTTGTGTGAGAGAAAGAATGAAGATTAACGTTTCGTATTTGTATGAGGTAAACTGTGATGTGATATCTTGATTGAAAATAATTTAAAGCTGAAACTGTTTAGACGCTGTGCCTATAATATTAGCTACTACTGTCAGGTTAAAATGCAGCCTGACAGCAGGCACTATCTCCACTGTCCATGCACATATACACACCTGTGGTTATCCCAGCTGTCAGTTTTTTGGTATAAATAAAAAAATCGTGCAGCTTTATGTATTCTGCGTTTGCTGAACAGGGCAATCAGTCTGAATTAGCGTAGTTAGTAAGGCCATTAAAGCATGAGAACTGGATGTTCTTAAGACTTGTGGCTAAATCATTGCTGATGAGGTGTTGTGTTTTAAGAAAAACAATGTAATACAGTCATTGCCTATCAGCTGGATAGCTGAATCTCTGGCAGATTCATCAGGAAAGAATTCATGCTTTCCAGTTTTGAGTGTTCAGCAATTGATTGATAGTTTTCAGAGAGAAAATTGTGAACATGTCTAGTGAAGCAGGTTAGCTAAAAGTCTGTCACTGTACTTAAGAAGGCCTAAAAACCAATACAATTGAAATGATGCAGTTGATTCTTCCTAAATGGCAACTGAACTGATATCCAGCTATCAGTAGGATATCCACCTTGCCTCTGCAGTCCTCTTAGGTCTATCTTTATAAAGCAGGACAGATTCATACAGAAAGGTCTGCTGCTTCACATGATCTATACACATACTTCAAGTCTGTGAATTTTATTTTGATAAATGTTTCCTTATGACATAGTATGCTTTATTAAATCCTTCAGAGGAGTGCTAGGATGTCTTGCAGAATCTTTACTGCAAAAGTAACCCTCTTCCCTCACTCATACATGCTCATAGTTTTTTTTCTAATAGATAAAGCTGCTAGCAGCCTCTGCCTTGTTTTTATTAGAAAACTTCAGAGTAGACAAACCTAGGAAAACTGAAATTCTCCGAAACGTGTATGTAAGCTTGATGTAACTTATTTGCTTTAAAGACTCTATTTACACAGCACTTAGAGTTCCTTCTCATTCATAAGAGTTTACTTTCAACAGGAATGTCACAAATGAAACTTAAGTTTTATAGTTTCACTTTGTCAAAATCTGCAGGTTGTTCTTCTTCCAACAGAGTAGAGAGCTCTTAATTTTTTGAATTTATCCTAAATGTAACGTCCTATTTTTTGGATATTAAGAAACTTGGTTATTTTTAGGAAGATTTTTCTGTTTTTTTTCCTTGGTTAAGACATGCTGAAAGTGAATCTTCCATCTCTTTAACTTACTTTACAGAAATTACAGAATTGTATTTCCAGTTTCAGCCTTCTCTAGAATAATTTGTCATCTTGTGTTTTGTATTGTTACTGCCGCTTGATTATGTTACACCTTTTTATGGGGAAGGAGGCTTGTTTTTTTTTTTTTTTTTTTTTTTTTTGGTTAGAGAAGTACTATAGTTCAGATTCTTGGGCAAAGTTCTGTGATATGTTGATGATTTTCTGCCTTGGGCTTTCTGTGACATTTTTGTTCACACATTTTCTGTTTCTTCCCCAACTTGATTCTTCCTAAATGGCAAGGACTTCACATGAATTTTTTTGGGAAGTGTTAGATGTTTGGATCTTCAGCTTCCAGATGTTGAAACTTAGCTTTGAAATGAAAATATAATGATGTGAAGATGACTGAGGTATGACCAGACACTGTGGCAGCACCCCTTTTTAGCTGAACATCCCTCGGAGTGCTTTTGCATTCTCAGTATGGTGCAATATTTTTTTTAATCTCAGCATGTCAGATTTTTTTTTCTGTGGGAACTGATTGCATTTGATCACCAACTGGGTTGAACCACATATTTCCTCAATTTCATTACATGTAGGTCTGTAATCTACCTTTTGTCAATGTTTGGTATTCCATCTTTATCACTGAAATACTTTCAAATCGCAGGCTTGTTTCACTGAGTTCCTGTAAAAGTCTAGTTTTTGTGTTGTTACTGCATAATGTTAATGCAGTTCTAGAAATTGAGTTGAATTTGGCTTCAGTCATACTGTTTACAGTGATTCTAAATAAGTCAGGGCTACAGCTGTTGCACATGACAGCATAGGGCTCTTTAAGAAAAATCTGTTGTCAGCAGTAAAGATTTTCTATAATTCAGTGCTTTTCTATAATTCAGAGTGCTCTCCAGTAAGCCCCAGGCAGTTCTGTCCGTATCTTTGTCCTACTTGATAGGCACTTTCCTTAGTGATTCAGGTTCCAGTTGTTCATAATTAATTTTGGGAGAGAGCAAAGGTCTGATACCATGTATTGTAATTTTTGTGTGGAGATTTGGTTACCAATTATCATGTTGGTTTCCACAGTTAGGAAATTTAGGATGCACAGTATGAACCCAGTATTTTCACTAGTCTCTTGGAAACCTAAGAGTGGTGGTGGATTACTTTTCTTCACTTGAGCCGTAGGAACTTAATTTATAAAGGTGTTGGGTTTTGCCTTTCTCTGTGTCAGAGCACCTGTACGTGTTTCATATTTTTTTCATCGATGTAGTCAAACTTTTGTTTCTTTCTTTAAAAAGGTGTTGCTTGCTAAAGCTTGGGAAGATTTGACAGAGCCAAATCACATGAAAAGAGTAAGCAGAAAAGTATATTTTGAAAATTATGAGACTTTTGAGTTTCCAGGATGTCTCTCTTTACTTTTTTGCTTGCTAGATATGTTTAGTATATACTAGGGAGATGTACACCTGCCATCAAAATACCCAGGCTATTATTTTGAAGAAAGCCAAAATGTTAGCAGTGTGTAAAATCAAACAAAGCAGAGAGTAGTCAGAAGCAGATTTAGTGTGTAGCTGTTGTATTTAGATGTAGGTGGTGTGTGTAGTCATTCACACTAAGAGCTACCACAGGCTTCCCATCTAAGCACTAGTTGTGTGTGAAAGTGGGGTTTGCAGGCTAAGCTGCTTTGCTTATAATTCCACTGGCTGGTCTGAAGCCCTTGCGGCTACAGTACCACCTGCTCTGGTGACTGCAGCTCATCTAGCCCTTACAGCAAATAGAGCAGAGAAATTTAGTAAACAATTCCCACAACTACTCTTGAACATTTCTGTTTAACTTGGTTAGACTGGGTTTGGTCACCCACCAGAGGAAAGAATGGTTCTTCATTATCATTAAGGTCAGGGTCTTCCTTTAAGATACCTACAACAAAAAGGCAGGATGGAGAGAAGCATTGTCTTTTTTGTTCAAATCTTTCCTGGTACTTAGGAGTCCTGAAATAGATTATCATACCTCTATGTGTACTTGCTTACTTTACACTTCTTTCTGTCAAGTTTAGTCAACATGGTGGTAGTTAAAAGTGCGATAACTTCCACAGGGATATTTTCAAATAAGTAGCACAATTGTGAATGGGAAGCATTTTGTGAGCTTGATCTTTACAGCAGAAAGTATTTTGGCCTTTGTTTCATGGATACACTGATAACAAAGTCTGTGTATGTGTATTGGGAAGGGTTTTTAACCTTTTTAGGAAAATGGAGCTACTTTTGCCAAGTTTTTTGTTTCACAGTACAGCTTGAAGTGTAACTGAATTATTCCAAAGTAGAAAGATTGAGTGGCAATGTTTTGCCATTCATACCTTAATATTGAAATTAAACCTAACTCTATCATAAGGCGCTTTTTAACTCCTTATTGCTATTGCTGAAAATATTTAATGTTTCAGATTGTTTGCTTTAGGATGAATGGCCTTTTAAGATGTGAGCAGTATTGATGGATCTTGGAAAGTGTGTTTCTTCTACTTTGCCCCCCAAACTTGAATATCTGTACAGAGAACTAAATTTCATGTTTCTTTTATCTCTAAATGTTGTCTATTGAGTGGTCAGCGAAGGTGTTTAAAGAGTTTTCAGTGTTGGAGCCAAGCAATGCGGACTAATTTTTAAGATTAAATGTAGTACTAAAGGACAAACCTTTTATACTGAAGGGTAAGAGGATACCTGTACTGGGAGATGCTCAAAACTTAATGTAATAGGGTGCCAAGAAACATGAACCAACTTTCAGGTTAGCTGTGCCTTGAAAAGAAGGTTTGATTATATTATTTCCAGAAGTCCTCATGAAATTACTCTACATAAAAAAAACCCCAACCCTTAGTGATTTCATGAGTGCCATTCCCAGCCAACATGCTGTAGATATACTTTTACTTTCATTAAAGCTTCACCACTTGGTAGAGTTTGATAGTATCATCTTGCTTTCAGAAGCTTCTGCTTGCTGCATGTTTGTGCTACTTTTGAGTTCTGTTTTCTGATCTTTTAAAATGCAGCTAGCTTGCACAAGAGTAACGGGCAAATGCCCGAGTTTGGGTTGGAGGAAGAAAGTATTAAGAGTTTTTTGAAAACCAATTCAAGTATAACTTGAAACATGATTAGACTTTGAACAAAACCAGTTACAATTAGCAATTCAAACAGTTTAGTAATATTTCATAAAATGGACTTTCCCAAGTCTTATGGTTGTTTTTACTATTCTGATACACATCTATGAATAAATTAACCACTGATGAGAGTTGCAAACTTATTAAAATGTCAAAAGAAGCTATTTTGGGGAGATTGTAATTAACTTGATTTATAGCTGAGTACTTATGAGTACTTTTAAGCAATCATATGTTTTTAAAATAAACCCTTTGAAGCCTGCAATTAAAAAATGTTAAACCTCAAATTTCTTTTCCCTCTTGAAAATATCTTATTAGGATTATATTATGGATTCTCCACCAGCTGCACCAGATAATACATCTGGTATACTGTTTGGTGTGAGACAGAACTCTGGAGTTCCACAGTACCAGACTGGGCCAGCAGTGAATGTAACAGGTGGGTATAACTGTAGTAGTTGATAAGAGAAAGAAACAGCCTAATGTCATTTAACTGTAGTGCAGATCTTCGGCTTATAACTTTAAATAGGATTTCTAGAGCATAGTATAGCTACTTTTTTTCTTCCCCCTATACATAAAACTGTATAATGTTTAATGAAATAAACTTTGGAGCCTTGTGTTGTCAGACTTTGCTTTTCAGTGCATTAGACTTGACTGCAGTATCCACTGATGTTGTCTTACAGTGCTCATCCAGATGGGAAAAAAGTATTGCCAGATCCACCATAATTTTTTTTGACAGATAAAGGCTCATTTTCAGTATATCCAGCACTCTTTGGCAAGCATGAATAGGACTGGCTGTAAGCAAGAGGGGCTGTGAGCAGTACCAGAAGAACTCTGGGTCTGCTGAGTAGATTCCCTGTGATGATGATCTTGGTTTCCTGACTGCTGTATATAGGACTTGGAGTAGATGGGTTCAAAAGGATCCTGTCTGAAAAGGAGGGGAAGGGAAAGAATATGTAGTTTGACAACCCAAACATTTTTTTCCAGCTAGCTAAATTGTGTTTCAGCAGGAACTATTTAACCTACTTAAACAAAAAGTGCCTTTTTTATGTCATGGCAGGTGAAGTAGATTTGAAGCATGCAGTATATTCAGTCTTAAACAGGCTACAACTTGCGACTTTCCTTCTCTTTTGTGAAGGATTGTGCTTCTGTAATAACTGACCACAATTCTGTTATTCAGTCTATAAGTTACAGATGACAATCACTTCTGATTCTTCCATCAGGTAACAGGTTATGTCAGTGAATAGCCTAACTGGTCATACTAACAAGTTATGTAGAACAGAGTGATTGCTAGTTTATTCTGCTTGATGTGATGATTTTGCATCTCTAATTTAGACATTCACTCCAGATACTTATTAATGAAGGTTTGGTAGTACCTTTCCTTGCATGTGTCCAACTATTCTGTGATCTTGTTCTTGTTTTACTGGTTAAATAGCTTTTTGTAAAGTAAGCAAAGGTTTTATTTCTTGCAAGTGGTTCAGTATTTCAGCCCTTGTCGTTTGTGGGTTGGAGTTTTCTTGTTAATTTAGGAGACCTGCTTGATTATGTAGAAATTACTTGTGTTAAATACTTTGAATTACAATCCTTGATGCTTTTAAGTGCCTTAAATATAGCATACTTAGTCTATGTTTATTTCTGTAGGATGGCAATAGAATTTAGAAATTTAAAGAAAAGGTTTATTATTGTGGGTTATAACACAACTATCTTTATGACACAGGAGGCAAATTTAAGATACATTTCACTTCACCAGAAGGAAATGTTTGCATAAGGTCACATAACGTGCTTATGTTCACGTTTGTGCTGATGCCTATATGCCTGTGTTGGTGCTGTGCTTCCTCCAATTCATACGGAGCACTGTGGCCACAAGACAGTCTGGAATACTTTGTTTAAAAACAGAATCCTTTTGGGAACTGGCCTGTGGTACTCTGCACGACTATTTAACATCTGTACATGGATCATTAAAGACTTTTTAGCTCAATATAGCATAAATATTTATTTCTGAGGTCTAAGCAGGGAAATGGCAAGCTGCTAATGGACACCAACCATTTTGTTAGGTTGTTAAATAGGAGGTGGTGTTAAGTTAAACAGCATTAGTAACTTATCTGCTGGTTGGATGAGCACTGGGGGATGTACATGAAACGCTTGCTTTCTGAGAGTATTTTGAGATGATTCTTCCACAAACTTTACCCACTGGAGGAACTAGAAAACGCCCTGACCAGTAGAACTCTTTAGTGGTATTTAGGAGCTGACTGGACTTTATACCTGCATTCATAGCACTAGGTTAGTGAGAGATGTTGGTGAGGGACAGTGCATGAGAAGCCTGAAACAATTTGACTTTCCTTCTTTGCTCGCTTGAGCTCCTGACAGTTTCAGCTGTGTGGTGAGTAGAGGACTGGAACATGGATGATCCACGGAATCCTTGTGTCCACACACCAGCTGAGAGGCACTTGGACAAGATGATACTTGGTTTGATTGTCTTTCAAAATAGGCTTAATTGGTTTTTTTTAATTGACAAACAACAGAATTCAAATGCAAAACTATGTATGTTCTCCCAGTATCATTGTAATTCTTCTGAAAGAGGGAATTTATTAGATCAGAGTTGTATAAACTGAGTTAAGAATGCTTACCTTCATAAATACATGAAACATTCTTCAGATTTGTCAGATGTGTTAACCTTTTTTAATTGAAATTATTACCAATTTTGTTAACATGTAAAAATAGTTTTTTCCAAATCAGGTTTTCTATAGTAAAATACAAGACCTTCTGTTTTTTCCCTCTCCCTCATTACACAACTACACATAATTAAATACATAGCAGCAGTTCTTACTGCTCAAATAGCCTCAGTGATAACAGACGAATGCTAAAGTCATGCCAGCTGCATGGAAGCCTTTGTCGATCAAGATGCATGTCAGTGTAACCAGCTCATATACCAAACAGTGCAAGTATAAATAAACTAAAAAAACCTAGGAAGCAGTAGTGTGTAATGCATAGCCTGTTTATTTTGTGAATGGGTTAATTACCTTAGGGAAACAATGCATGGAGTGAGACATTTCAGTTTAGTATGTTTATGTCAGAAAGAAGAAAAGGTGTGCTACAAAGGAGAATGTTAGAGTGATTAAATATGTGTATAGCAAGTGAATTACATTTTCGTGTATATCAGGCATAGTGTGGAAAATGCTTCTGGATGCTCAAATATCAGCATTCCCTGCTGGGAGTCTTTGCCTCTCTGGATGGAATGGGGAGACGATCCAGACTGTTGGCTAAGTCTAGATAGCTACCACTGAGCAAACACAACTTGAGGGTGGGAGAGGGATGTTTTGTTTCTTCTTGGAAGAAGCTTGACTAATTTTGTGACACAAATTATCTCTGCTTGGTGAGAAGACTTTTAAAGATATTAATTCAGTTTCTTATTACACCCAAAGAAATTACTGGAGCAGCTCCACCTTTGGGAAGGAAGTAGACAGTGTCCTTGGTTCAGATCATCGTGTCTGGAACTAAAGTCTGGTCCCTGTCATAGTTCATGATAGTCTTAAGGCTGTTTGCAGTCTGATTGGGAGAGATTTACAAGCCTTGTGCTGGCATTTCAGATTTCTTAGTATGTAGCTGTGCTTTTTCAGGTCTGCTTGAGGGCTGATCTCTGCACTGAGATTACATCATCAGGGGTAATCTTACAGTAACAGAGACATGGCTTTAAGGACAAGATGGAGTCAGGTATTGATGGGCATGTTAATCAGGCACCAAACCTGAGTTTGCAAGTTGTTTTTTAGTGATCTTATTTTTTTTTAGAAGAAATACTGCAAACAGTAAGTGAATCAACTGTTCTTTCAAAAGACAGCAAATAGGTGTGCTGTGATTGCTCATTAGAAGTTACAACACTGTTTTCATTTTGCATACAAACTGGTCTCAAATGTTTTACAGAGTTAAATAACAAACTAAAATTGGACCAGAAAAAAGAGAGATGCCTTTCATCAGAAGGGCAGAGGTCGTTCCAAATAGTGGGCATTGCAGAAACCAGCTGCTCAGCTTAACTTTGTTTCTGTGAACTCACCTTGTCTCAGATTAGTATGGGTCAAGATGTGAAAAGTAGGCCAAGTAAGTTCAGGTGGTCATAGTATTATTTACTGGGTTTCAGGGATGTATCTTTTTGCATTTACCCTTTCCTCCTCCACTGGCCTTAGAATATTCAGTCTGAGTTGGATATTGTTTTCTTAACTTCTGTATGGCTTATTTTAGGGAAATCTTAACTGCTTTATGTCCATCCTCTAAAGTATAGGCATCGCTAATGTGTTCATAATATACTGTGGAAAAAAACTGAGGTTCTTTAATTTAAACCACTGTAGGTCTGAATGAGAGTGTTTTTGTATCTAAGCGTCCTGCTACTTCTGAAGGAAACACTGTAACTCCAAAAAAGGCCAAGTCTAATGAGGTTGGTGCTGGAAGCAATTCAGATGTTTCACCTACAGTTAACTCTCCAACAGTAACACCATCACAAAATGTATCTTCAAAAGGTAGGGTAGATCCAATGGCCTAGCTGTCAGTCCATGCATCTGTTTCATGGAAAACGCTAAGCACTCTTGTAATGTTGAGTTGATGGGTATTATTAATGCTTAAGGCAGTGTAAATAAGTAGTTCTGGTTTTATGCCTTAAAGTAAGAAAAACCTTTCTATGCAAGGATTTACATACCTTTACAAACTAATACACCCAAGGTTATTACCTATTCAAATTTTACACCTTTATTGTTCTGTAGATATGTTTGGATTATGTAAAGCAAAGATTTAGTGCCTGTGAAGACAGATGATCAAAATAAATGCCCCTGACCTCATACTCTTCAGATTTTCTATGACAAAGAACTGAATAGAGAGTTTAAACTTTAAAAAACAACCAGTGTGAAAATCAGGATTGAGAAAGTCCCGTGACTGCTGAATCTATCAACTAATTCTGATTAGATAAAAGGAAGAAAAAAAACCTGCCATTGTAGGAATGTCAGGCAAAGCAGCAAGGACTCTGACTGTGAAATCTCTATCTTTGGAGATATTCAGAATTTGTCTGGACATGGCTCTGAGCATCCTGATAAGACTGGACTTGCTTTGAGTGGGAGGTTGGACAGAAGCACCTCTACAGGCCCAACCTAAATTATTCTGTGACTCTGTAATTTGACTAAGTATTGCAAAGTGTGTTTTGCAGTTCCCCCCTTTCTTTTGCAGCATTATTTTTGACAGAGCTGAAAATGGTAGTGGGAAGGGAGGAGGGGGATTTAAGTTTCAAAGAGAGGATGTTTCTGGAAACACCTTTCCCTCCCTACAAGAAGAGAGGTAGTCTAGCAGTTTCAGTGTATTAATAATTGGGTGCATTTTCCTCCTGAGCTTAAAGGTGCTTTCCAGCTTATTGTAATAGATGAGGATTTATTCTGGAGTTTGAGATATTTCCAACCACTTACTCTCTCCTCTAATGTTAAAATGAGGAGTTACCTACAGTGTGATTCTGTTGTCTGGAATCATTTCATATCTGGATTTTTTGCATGTCTTGTTTGCAGCTGGTTTGCTCTCAGACTCTGCCCCAGCAACTAGAAGGAAGTGGTATAATGTGCTAGAATTGCAGCAAAAATATTTTCTTCCACCATGTGTTGGGTAAAACAGATACTGTGCTGCAGCCTATAATATACGAAAGATAACTGGAGGTTCTCACTAAATGCAGTAACAAAGTAGATCATATTCACTGAGAAATTTATGAGTTTGTCTCTAAGCCATCCCATACTAGCAGAGCAATTTCTAATCTGTCACAGAACCCAGCACTGAAGCACTGCAGAACATGAGATCTTGCTGCAGAACCTGTTTTCTTCCAGCTCAGCTTGCACTGAGCTGCGACACGTCCAAGCGTTGTGCAAACTCTAATGGTGAAGACTCGCAGCACTGCTTTGCAGTACACCTCTTGCATGGCCATCCACTCATGTGAAGGACTTGCTGCTTAATTCCCATTCTTAGCAATGCTGTTATCTTCAAGGAAAACCAGTTTGATTCATGCCTACCTCAGGGACTATGCAAGATTATTTTTGTGAAAAAAATGTATAACGCTGTTGCATGGTCATCTCTTAACTCATACACTTACTCATTCCCTTGTTATAAGGTGGATGTATTTGTGTGTTTATTTTTATTACATTTTTTTGTAGCCCTGGCAGAGTACAGTTGACTCTACAGTTGAGATGTTACTTAAAACTCTTCCTTTGTTTAACCTCTTCTAAACTACTTACTCAGCATGGAGTCCTCCAGATCTGTGAATGACTTGAGAATGCAAGAGAACTTCATCTGAAAAAGTAGCTCTCGCTCTGATGTTTTTTGTCAGTTTGGAGAAAACTGGAAGCCTGGGTTTATTCATTAAAGTTTAAGCTAATGCAAAACTTTTTTATTTTTGCTCAAAAGGTATTAAACATTTTATGTTGATAAGAGAAATACTATTTCCTTTCATTACTGGGAGTAATTATTTAGAGGATTTATTCTCTAGGTTCTCCAAAGACACCTTTGCTCAACAGGAATGATGCATCTGAATAGGCCTAGGTTCCAACAACTGTCCAGAGAGAAATATTCTCATTGTTGAGAACCAGATGGTGAAATTCCCTCCCAAACCCAGTTATCTGAACCCTATTGTGGTGATGATCAGGTCATGGCATAAAACAAGTTTTACATGTTCATTTGAGAATTAAAGTTCTTAAAACAAAAACATCAAAAATCCATTCTGTCTGGGGGGTGGTGGGGTGGTGGTGCAGAGAATTTAATATTTTGCCTCTATCATGCTACCTTCACTCCCTCCCATTTTTTCCTTATTAAGATTTTGTAAAAGTGGTTTATAGGTCTATATCAAAAAGAACAAACTCAAACTCAGTTTGGAAAAAAGGAAGGGTAGTTAAGACGGTTGTAAAACCTTGCTTATGGTTACTACACCATTTGTAATAGTTTTCATTTGAAATTGCATATTTTGCTAGAAAAATAATAAATTGAGTACTGTGAGTCTTAATATACTTGAAATTTTACAGGTACAAATGTTGCATCAAGCACCATTAAAAATGGAGGACCGTTTCCACGAGCTTGTCCAAAGTGCAATATTCATTTCAATCTTATGGATCCTCTAAAAAATCATATGAAGGTAAGATATTTCAGGGCTGGTGAACATTGTAACAAACTTATGTATGTGGGCTTCTGTTTGGATATGAAAGTGCCGTGTTTTGATGTGAAGATAGTCAAGGCAGTCTGGCTTCTGGCTATGATCAACCAGAGCCTAAATGCTCTATGTCTTGTAGTCATGGAGAGGAAGAATGGAGTAGGAGAGCTCTTAATCTTGCCACTTTTTTGCCTTATTTTCCAATGAGTTGAGGTATATTTGCTGTCTGTATGATTTCTCTCTGCCACAGCTGTGACTTACTGAACCATTGGCCAGATTCAGGTGAATTTAATGAAGGTAAGTGCCTATAATAATAGGCAGCTGGTTGACCCACATCTGTGTTATATATCTACTGAGACAAAGATGACAGCGTAAACTTACCTTTTAATCTTAATATATCACTTCATAGCTAAAAAAAGTTAAGCTGAGGGGGAAAACTTAATTGGTGGCTCATATCTGAACACTGTGAGAAACAAAGCTTTCAGAAACCAAGCATTGCTTAGTCTGCTTATGAAACTACCTGGAAACATTATTTCCTGGAAAATATTTATTAATATTTGGCAAAGATTCATACAATTCTCAGGCATGTGTATTCCAGTTCTGAGGGCAGAGAAATGGTTTTCCATTCTATGTACCATGTGAATAACCTGTGCATAAAGGAATACAAACTATGATGTAATAGAAATGTGTGAGGCTCTGAGTTACTGTTAACTCAGATCATTCTGATTTACTGGGCTTGTCGTACCCTAAATGGTAGCTGCTGTCCTCTTGAGCTTCAAATCACAATTAAGAAACATAAGTAAGAGTGGAAGAAAATCAAGGGTTTTATCTTTAGTCATTAATCATAAAGAATAATTTTTTCACTGAGTACATCAACTGAATAGAAAAATCATTGAAGTGGTTTTATTTAGTATTATTTAATTATTTTTAAAATTAAAATAGAAAGTAGTCCTGCACAATAAAAGCCACTATTCAGCAGGAGAAAGATACCTGTCCTCTGAAACATTCTGATTTTGTTCACTATTGGAAACTTCATAGCATCTTCTGTATGAAATGTTTCATATTTTTTAAACGTTAAGTTTCATAGTATAGCCATTGGGTTAAACATTTATGTACACTTTGACACAAAGAAGCTTGAACAGTGTGTGCTTTGTGACTTAGGATTTCTGATTTTTTTCAGTAATGCTGGAAAGAACTTTTGCAAGCTTCAACGTATGTCCTTTCCAAAGAAATAAAAGATAAAACTTTCCATTAGGTTCTCAGTAAACTTATGTTTGTCAGCAAAATTCTTGTATAAAAGCTGCTTTTCTAGCTTAAATTCATTTTACGTGAACCTGTGAGAATAATCTCTTTTCAGTTTTCATAATATGTAGTGCTTTATTACCTAGACACTACCTAAAGATCAGTTATTGTTCAAAAGCTTTATGTGAATATGAATGAAGTCGGTGTGCCGGAGAATTAGTTTTTGTATCTAACTCTAGTTAGTGGCTTCAGTTTTTGAAATGGTGTTGTCATTGATGGAGTTTGGTAAGAGGTACTGATACCTGTGTGTCTGTCTGTGTCTTCTCCTCCCTCTTTCCATCCAGTATTGTTGTCCAGATATGGTAAATAACTTTTTCCTGGGAATGGTCAAAACAGAATGTTCAAGCACAACAAGCAAGACTGCTGAATCTGAGAAAGGAAAATTGATTATGTTAGTTAATGACTTTTATTATGGGAAACATGAAGGTGACACCCAGCAAGTACAACAGGAGCAGAAGACTCATACGACATTTAAGTGCTTCAGTTGTTTGAAAGTTCTTAAAAATAACATAAGGTATTTGAACTCCCTTCCTTAATTGTTTATCACTACAGCCTGCAGCACTTAGTTTCATGCATTAACAATTTGTGTGTCTCAAATAGAATTATTTTTTTTCTTCTTGAAAACTGATAATATTGGGTGACTGAAATTTCAGTATGCATGTATGGCCATAGCTTAATCTGTTCAGATTAGAGTACGAATTTTAATGGTGTCTAACATAAACAGTAGAGTTTTCAGGAGAGCAGTTGTAGGAAGGACATTGGGGTGAGAAAGGGCAACACAAAGTATTTTACAATTTGCCATCTGGATTGATGGTGATATCAGTAGATGTGAGTGTTAATTCCCTTTGGGGATGCACAATGACTAATAGTTGGTGGTTTACTTATGTAACATCTGCTATTTTGATGGAATAATTCTACTTCCAAATGCTGCAAAAAACTTCAGTAAGCTGTTTTAATAGGTAGACAAGTTCATGTCATTGTTTCTTTGGAAGTTAAGGTCATTGAAGTTTATTATATGCATTCTTCAAGGGAAGCTGAAGTAGCAGAATGTAAAGCTGAAAAATGGACTTTTTCTTCAAAGGGCACAGTCTGCAAGTTAAAATTAACAGGTTTATGCTAACATTAGACCCATATTACTGCACAAAACAGAAGTTTCATGTAATCACAAACCTTATATTTGTTATTAATCGTTAAGTATGAGTAGAAGTGCCAGTAATTTGTCTTAAGCAGCTTGAAAATGTTGCATGTTGTTAGACTTCAAAAGAGTTTACTCTCACAATTTTATAGTTCTTGTTAATTATGGCATTTCTTCCCTTGCAATTTCTCTTAAGAGCAGTAAACTGATAATCCGAGAGGTTTTTCTTTTGTTTTTGTATGCATAATAACTCTTCAAATAAGCGTTTCTTGCAGTAGCGTGAAAAGTAGTCCACAGAAAGAATACTTTATTAAGATACTGGGTTTATTTAAAAAACTGTTATTCAGGCACTGTTTTCTACTCAGCATTATACTGTGTGTGTGTTCCACAGCAAGTCGTTAAAAATGAGCACTTCATTTTTTTAATTTCTCTAGAGTTGCCTTTCAGTGATAGTGATTTTTGCTGTAACTTGGTGGCTGTATACCATAGATCTGTAACTTCAGAATTTTTATTCCAAGGTGTATTTCACACCTTCAACCATTTATAGTGGACAAAATAGATACATAGTACCTCTGTACTTTTAGTGGAACTTCTCTGGACCTTAGTTCAGAAAAGCACAAAGTAATTAATCAGGGTAGTCCCCTTATTCCTTTAAAAGATCTGTAGTTGAACACAGCATTGAAATAATGTTCTGTTAAGATAACGTGCAGCACTGGTGTCAATTCCTTTCTTCTGCATAGGTACCTGGATATCTTCAGTTAAGTCTTTTTTTTTTTTTTTTCTTTTTTGCCTTTTTTTAAGCAACTGCATGATATTAGAAGCTTGAGCTCAGGAAACTATTCTCCTTTCTCATTTGTCTTTTCCAGTTCCAAGGTTACCACTTTGAGAACTATCTTCCTTTTGTGAGTGTGACCTAGTTTCCTCTGCCTGTACTGCAACGAAGCACATTCAAAATAGAACAGTTTTGGAAGTTTAACAGTAGTGGGTTGTGCAGCTAACCTGTCCTTGTGCCATTCCACCAGTAACTCTGACCCGCCCAGTGTTGTCATGGGTCCCCAGGCTTCTCACCCAGAATAGGTCCCTACTACGGATAGGTGGACATATTAATGAGGAAAAGGTGGTAACCAAGCTTCTCGGACTCTTTTGCTTGCTCGGTGTCGTTCTTTGATAACTGTCCTTCATAAGGACTTCATCTTCAGTCCTACAAAGACAGCTTCTGGAACCCTGCCAGGTTTGGACGGAGGTGCTTTCAGATAAAGCTATAATGACCTAGTTGTAGATATGTTTTTGCTACTGAAGAGTTTTCAGCAGAGCTAAAGTTACACTTGTTTCAGAATGTGGCTTTGAGACTGGTGGTGGTGAAGTGTGAACAGCTGATACGTTTTGTTGTTGTTGCCTTTGCTCATTTGCCTTTATTTCAAGGCAAGAATTGTCTGAGCAAACATGAAAAATGCAATAGACTGCTTCGTCTTAGAATATATTTCAGATATGTTGCATGTTCCTTACAATAGTCAAGATGTCTTGTTAAGCTTTGAAAGATGATTTCTGGCATAGTCAGCTGCTTTAACTTTGTTGCGCTTTTTTTTTTAATCTTTTTTTGTAAATTGAGAAGTCATTGGAGAGTAAAGTTTCTAAAGAAGCCTCTACATCTTGCGTGTGACGTCATATACAGTGAATGTTAAAATGTCTTTTTTTTTTTTCACCTTTTTGCTGTCATATAAAGGTTTATGAACCACATGAAACATCACTTGGAGCTTGAGAAGCAGAGCAGTGAAAGCTGGGAAAGCCACACCACCTGCCAGCACTGTTACCGGCAGTTTCCCACCCCCTTCCAGCTGCAGTGCCACATTGAAAGTACACACACGCCTTACGAGTCATCTAGTAAGTTGGATTGTAACACATGGAACTTTTTTGTAACCTAATTTTTTTAGATATTTTCTGACTTTGCTGGTTTTTAACTTCAGAATAAAGCTATTTTACTTTAAGAGCAGTAACCTTGAGATTTAAAATAGGAGCTTACCACTCATTCAATTTATGTTCGGGCAGTGTGTGTGGGAAAAAAAAACTTATGAAGTATTTTGGGTTTTTAATTGAAAGCTTCAGGAATTCATGTTATTTAAGGACCTTGCACTCCTTGCTTCCTGAAATTGTTCATGGAATTTCTTCTGAAGAGTAGACTAATTGTTAAATTGCTTTACCTTTATACATATATACATACATATTTTATCTCCTTATGACCCCAAACAATTTTTTTTTCTCATTTTTCACTTTTTCTAGCAATTTGTAAAATCTGCGAATTATCCTTTGAAACAGAGCAAGTTCTTTTGCAACACATGAAGGACAATCATAAGCCAGGTGAAATGCCGTATGTTTGCCAGGTATCTCAGAATGACCATTTTGTATTCAGATTACACCACCCCCCTGTCTTTACTGTCAATAAACTTTTAATAAGAAAGCCGACCTTTTTGTTTTAGGTATGCAACTACAGATCCTCAGCTTTTTCAGATGTAGAAACACATTTTAGAACAGTTCATGAAAATACGAAACACTTGCTATGCCCATTTTGCCTCAAAGTAATTAAAATTGGAGCACCATATATGCATCATTACATGAGACATCAGGTAAGCAAATATTTTCAATTCTTAACACAGGAAAAATGTGATATATATGTAATTAATCTGGGGAAAAAAAGATATAATTGATTTGTATGGCTGTTACTGGATAGGAAGAGTTAATAAAACATGGTAGAATTGTGACTGCTTCTTTTGAAGAGTCTTTAAGAGAATTACTAGTCTGTCATGGGTCTGTGTGACAGCAACTCCCTGTTTAAAAAAAATATCTCAGAATATACTTGAAAGAATATCTCTGCTATTGGTTTTCTTCATTAAGGTGTAGTGATGTGTCCTGCTTTTCTTGAGGTTACTATCTAACCTTTCCCTAATTCAAGGAGAGAAAAAGATTATGAAGTACTGTGTCTTCTTGTAATTGGTAACCTGGTTCATCCTCCTTAGTAATGACACGGCCTTGCATTTTCAAGTATTTAAATATTCTTTCTTTAATTCCTACACAGTGTCTTGGCTTTGTACAAAATTACAAGTTTGTCCAGTTCATGTCTTAGAAACTGGATGACCATTGCTTGAGACAAGCTAGGGCTGGGGTTTGTCATGACATTATGCTTACTATAGATTGTCTTCCATTTTTAAAAGAAAAAAGGAATATATCGTTGCACTAAGTGCAGACTGCAATTTTTGACATGCAAAGAAAAAATGGATCACAAGACTCAGCATCACCGAACATTTAGGAAACCCAAACAGTTAGAAGGATTGCCTCCTGGAACAAAGGTAAGTGTTCATACAGAAAAAAGAGAGGAGACGAAGGAAAAATAATTACTGGTAGAGAAAAGAGTGGAATAGAAAGAAGTGTTTTTCTCCTTTATTTTCCACAGCACAGTTTTGTTTGTTTGGGGGTTTTTTGCTACCTCTAAAACTAAAACTCTAAAAAATAGTCCTGTTACAAGAATTGCCAAGCATAGTTTATGGTTTCTTTCTGGTGATCTTTGGTGTTCCTATTCTTCCATTCAGGTGTAATTCAGTCAGTGTTGCTGCTTTCTTGAACTGTTAGTTAATTTGCCCCCTCTCATTTACCCCTTCTTGTGCTAAGAGAAAAGGAGATAGTCTGGAAGTTGGTCAGAGGGGTCTGCATCATTTTTTGTGGAAGGATTTTAAACCTGTGGAAGTGGTGGCAAAAACCTTACAGAGTACAAAACCTACTTTTCCATAGACAGTATGTACTCAATACTGAGTTCACCAAGGGTTTTTTAGCTCTAGCATCTGAAGAGGAAAAAAATCCCCACAATTTCTTTTAAGTGGTTTATGAAGTAAACTTGGGTCTTCTCAGAACAGTTCGTCTGTCCTTAAATCATTCTTCCATTTCTTGAGAAGGAACCACTTAGACTAGGATTTTTCTGTAGATTTAAGGACTTAATTCTATGGTTATTTTAATGAAGTATGAAAAGAAGAAGAAAATTCACATTTTGATCATCTCTTCACGGTCCATTTGCTGTGGAATCAGAAAGGAAAAATGACTGAGGTTGATGTTGATTGTGTTGTTTGGCAGAATGTAAAGCACTGATGCTCTAGTCTTTGGCAGTACCTCAGTTTTCTGAAGATTTCAGGGTCTTCGTGATCTAATAAAAGCTTGGATTAGGTTATAATTTTGGTATTAGTAGACCTGGACAGAATGTAGATGATGAGACTGAGTTTGGAACCAGGCTTAGAAGGTGAGGTGCTTCTAAACTACAATTATGAGCAAGAGGTATAATTTGGAGTCATGCTGCAAGTGAAAACTGGAAAAACGGAATTTAAGGGCAAGAGAAGGGAGTGCAGTAATGCTGGATGAGAGGTCAGAAACCAGCCTTAGTCCTTGGGGGTCTAGGATGAGGAGCAAAAATAGGAAGTAAGGAGGTAAATTGGCTAATCATGAGGCTACAAGACACAGGGCTTTTGTTAAATCCAGGCACTGATAGGACTGTTTGATACTATTCTTAGTAAGGCTAATTGATCTGACCCTTCTGTTTCTTTTCCATAACTATGTTTTTTTTAAGAAAGCAGGATGTAGCCAGTTGCAGGTCTGAGAAGAGCAGTGTGTTTTGTCATGGCAATTTCCACCAAAACAGCTTTTTAAGCATCCAGTAGACTGTTGAGGTTAGGTTTACTCTTTGGTATTTCTCTAAGCAGTCTTTACTGAGGAGTGTTTCTTAGAATTTTTGTTATAAGGTGGCTTAAACGTTGAGAAAAATAGAAATGGCAACTTAGCTTAAATCTAAATAATTTGTTTAAATTTCATATTCATAGGTGACTATTCGAGCATCTATTGGATCTCTTCAATCAGGATCATCAGCTACATCTTCTGTTAGTACGAGCACTTCCACGTTTCAGTTATCACCTAAAGCTAAAAATACAACCACTAAAAATCATAACAAATCTAATACAAATAAGTCAAAAGCTAAATCAAAATCAACTACATCAAGAAAGCAAAATGCATGGACCAACAGCAAAAAAAAAAAAGAAGTTACAAATACAGCATTGCATAATTTAAGGTAAAATATGAGTATTAGACATATCTTTAGGTTTACTTTGAATATAAATAATGATTTATCTTTCAATAACTTCTGATATTGCAATATAGAAGATTTGTCATTGCCATTTTGCAGAAAAATCGCTCACATAAGCTTTTCAAATACTGATACTGTGATTCTAGTTCTGTATCTTTATTCACCAGTTTTGGTGGTGGTAGAGTACTTTATGATGGAAGAACAGATGTTCTGGAAACTTTTCTGTGCAAACTTAGAATTTTTCTCTGCATAGAGCCACAGACTCTTGAAATACTGGCTCATTAGGCAGATTTATGTTTAAAATTGACCTGTGGAGGGGAATACATCTGCCTGGGTGTTCTCTGCAAGTTTTCTTATGGAGGGAAAAGTCTTTTCCTCGTTCCATTTTTTTAAGGGTTTTATTTGAATCTGCTATTTAAAAGGTTAAGTCTTGTCTGTCCTAGGAGATACCTTAATTTGGGAGCTACCAAAGCAAAATCGAGAAAGTAAAAGCAAGCTGTTGGGAGAACGCTGTCCTTACGTTTACTTACAATTTGCCTGGGGTTTGCTATCCTTATATTAATAATTTAATAGTTTTTTATCAACTGGAACATAATGTCATTGGCTGAGTTAGCAATTTCCTTTGTCAAAGATTGTATCTGTCTCCCAATAAGGTGCTAATGCTCCCAGGCCAGCAGAATTGGGGGAGAGCAGGATTGCATTCTTGCTTTGTAGATATTTCAAAGCTCATGGGGAATATCAGGGGTGACAGGAAAGCCAAAGGGTTTTTTCTGTGCGTTCTGGTGGATGAAGCATTTATTTGGAATGTTTCTCAAGTACACAGAGACAACAGCTGCAGCTGAAGTTGGAGGTGCTCATCTACTGCAGTATCTTTTTTCCAGGAGTGGCCAATAGCAGATGCTTACATTAACTTTCACTCTTTTATTAAGGTCATAATGACAGTATAATTCAAGAAAAAACAAAGTTTTCTTCATGTGGGCTAACATAACTCATAATAAGTATTTAAGTGATGCGTTTTTAAGTTCTTCATTTTTTCCCCTAATGTAGGCAGGCTTGCTACTGATTTAAAGCAAAAAAGTTTGTAATAGTTACCTTGTCTTAAAGGGTTTATATTAACTATTAACTTTTTCATGTTACTGTTAGGTATCGTTTGGGAGCTCACAAATGTATTGAGTGTTACTCAGAAATAAAAGATTTTGCAAGCCATTTTCCTGCTTACGTCCACTGTAGCTTATGCAGATACAACACTAGCTGTAGCAAAGCCTATGTGAATCACATGATGAGGTAAGAACTCTTCAAAGTTTTTACTGAGTTATCAAATAGTTCCTGAATTCATATAAGGTGTGTTAAGCCTTTCTATTAGCTGAGTTTTGAACTGGGTTGTAGGACTGGCAGGGAAATGTCTGAAGGTTGGATTTTTACTTTGTAATGAGGGCCTAAACCCCATGTCCATGTTTTGCCTTAAAAACCCAGTGGTTCAGGCAGTGTTCTATCTTTGCTTCAGAATTTCTGTGGCATCTTCCATAACCATTCCAGCCCGGCTTAAATAATGACTAATTGTTGTGTGCTGCTGGGTTTCAGATGGAATGCCTCATCTGACTTTAGAAGTGCTGAATGCATACAGCCACAGTTACTGCTGATGAAATCTGTGCTCAGATACTATGTAAAGGATGTCTCCAGTAGCACAGTCGAGTGGATACTTTTTCATATACTACTTCTGGTCATCTGTAAAAATAACCTCTCAGTTTACAGGAGGTTTGTTACTGATTTTGAGACAGTGTAGAATGTTAGTGATGACAGCTGTAAAAAAGCTTGTAAAAAAGAAAACAAATGCATTAGTTTTCAGAGCAGTAGAATTATACTATGCAATAATTAGGCACAGGTCACGTAGCAGTGACAGGAAAACAAAATTTTGATGACCTATTTGTTAATCCTGTGCCCTGAACAAGCCAAATTGTGGGGAAAAAAACAGAATGCAATTGTCTTTTTGAATACATGTTTGTATAAAATGCCTTGACATGTTAATGCTAGAATTCTTGAATTTATGACCTAAGTCTTTACAAGTTTTTTAATATATTTTATATGTTGACCTATTCATATTAATTTCAATGCTCATGTGAGTCCTAGGCTGAAATAGTTACATGCTTTTATGGATATAGCCTACTGATTGCATGCTTAAATAATAAAAATTAATGTGCATGGTTCTGACTGTGCAAGAGTAAATTTACTGGGAAGGAGAGGGGAATCTAAGGTAAACTGTTGCTGCTGCTGCCCTTGTTCTGGGTGTACTGCAGTAAACCAGCCAGGCTTTTGCCCTTTGTCTCCTTGGTGTACTCATGCTCCCGCTACCTTGACCCCTTGCAGCACCTCTCGTCACCTGTTTTGGTGAGTGTAAGGAACAGGGCATGGTGAGGAGGAAGGCTGACAGAGGGAGGGTGTTTGTGCAGTGACAGCCCCTGTACCTCAGCTTCTTGCTTGCGCTTTCATGCGGGAGTACAGTGTTGGCACATATTCAACCTGCATATGAGAACTTACAGGTTGTCTGAAATGGAAGCCATCTCTTTAGGAAGCGTGAGTTCAAAGTTTGGCAGCTTCCCTGGAGCACTGTAGCTACAACCATGGTGGTGCTGCAAGAGCTGAGCTGCTGGTGGAAATGATGGAACTATGTTCTTGCAAGACTGTGCTGACAAATTTAAGCCTTGGCCCTCCCAAACTAGTTATTTACAAGACAGTGTTTTGAACTAGAGCTGAGATTCACAAACCTTTAAGCTTTCAGCAATGTAATGTTTTGGAATAACAGGTCAGGTCAGTAACTGAGCCTTCTATTTTTGTGCATTGTCCTAAGCAAATGTAATACCACATGCAGAGTAGGGGATGTGTGGAGTACTGTACTCAAAAAAAAAAAAAAAAGTGCTAAGTGGTAATGTTTTCTTGTATTTAGTTTTCACAGTGCTCGTCCAAGTAAAAGATTTTGGATCTATAAGAAGCATTCAGAAGAGCTACGGTAATCCAGCTTTTTTCAGTCACAGATCATTTCGTTTTTACTCTCTGAAGTGAACTGATTAGTTAAATGAGATTGGAGCCTTTTGAGTTTCTAGGCTTCCGCAGTTTAGAAGGAGCAGGGAAATAAAAGCATTAGTTCTTCCACTAGCAGTGCTCGATTCAGTGACAAACATTTGTTATTTGTCCACATTTAGTAATATTTTTCTTAACTTATTTATAAAAATACTATTATTTCTTTATTTTTCAATTATTCCTAATGTGCAAAATG